CACCTCTCCATGACCTGTGGTAAATGACAGCAACTAAAGTTCAGTCCAGTATTTTAGGATCAAAAAACTGGCAGGAGATAGTCTCCTGATCCATCTGAAAAGGAACCATTAGCTGTTCCATATACCCTGCAACCTCCCTGACCCCTGCAAACCATAAAGGCCCCTCTGCAGTGCTGACTTTCTGGACTCCAGCAATCACAGGATGACTGCCTCAAACCATCCAGCCTGCCCCACCCCCATCCTGTGGGCTCCTTTGCTGTGGGTACAGACCTCACACCCCAGAAGGGCCCCCTAGAAAACATCCTCAGGAAACAGAGGCTCCAAAGGCTGCCTTTTCAAAATTCGCAGAAACCAGAAGTGGTAATCTAACACTCCTTTCCCATAAGCGGTTGTCACGTTTTGTGGGTTGTTTTTGTTTTTGTTTTTTTTTAATTAAATTGATTGGGATGACATTGGTCAACATGAACATGTACTTGTAACACAGAAATCTGCACTCACTTTTGCCCAAACACAATGGTCCTCATTAGCTTTCACTCAGGCCTTTGAACTTCATACAAAGTCCCTCCCTCCCCTGGCTGCCTGCTGCAGCCTGCCCCTTATTCTTGGTTCCTTTCTGGTCTATTTTTAAGGTATATATAATGGAGCCTTTTTGCTGCTCCTTACTCACCCCTCTGTGAAGTGAAGTCTCAGTCTAGGAAGATATTCTGCTGCTTTAAACACCAACAGCTGTTTTTTAATGCCAGAAGGTAAACTCCAGAATTTTAACTAGAAGAAATACATATACTAGTATTGTTCTTCATTTTGGGGGAAAACACCACACACACAACATACACACACACACACACACACACACACACACACACACACACACACCAGCAGCAGCAGCAGCAGGTGGGAGAACCTGGGATGAACATGCAGCTGTGAGACAAGCTATGGCAGGAAGCTGAACTACAGGATTCTCAGTGACATTTTCTTTGGGGAGAGGTGAGAAGTTAGGGATACTGTTATTGATGAGTTGAATTGTATCCCCCAAGTATCTTATGGTGGAGTCCCAACTCCCAATACCTGGGAATATGACCTTATTTGGAGATAGGGTAATTACTTTAAAATGAGGTCATTAGAGTTTGCCTCAATCCAATATGACTAAAGTTGAGGAAACTGGGTCACAGACATGCACACAAAAGAACACCACATGAAGATTAAGGCAGGCGCTAGCCAGTTTGGCTCAGTGGATAGAGCATCGGTCTGGGAACTGAAGGGTCCTGGGTTCAATTCTGGTCAAGGGCATATGCCCGGGTTGCTGGCTCAATCCCCAGTAGGGGGCATGCAGGAGGCAGCTGATCAATGATTCCCTTTCATCATTGATGATTCTCTCTCTCTCTCCCTCTCCCTTCCTCTCTGAAATTATATATATACTAGAGGCCTGGTGCACAAAAATTTGTGCACTTGGGGGGGGAGGGGGGTCCCTCAGCCCAGCCTGTGCCCTCTCGCAGTCTGGGACCCCTCAGGAGATAACAACCTGCTGGCTTAGGCCTGCTCCCAGGTGGCAGAGGGCAGGCCCAATCCCTAGGTGCAGCCCCTGGTTGGGCTCAGAGCAGGGCTGATTGGGGAGTTGGGGCACCGCCCTCTGTCATGCACAGAGCAGGGAGGATCAGGAGGTTGCGATGCCACCCTCAGTCACGCTCAGGGTAGGGCCGATTGGGGGGTTGGGGCACTGACCCCTCTCACGCACAGAATAGGGCCCATCAGGGGGGTTGGGGCTCCGTACCCGGTCACGCACAGAACAGGGTCGATCAGGGGGTTGGGGAGCTCCCCCCTGTCATGCACAGAGCAGGGCCGATCAGGGGATTGAGGAGCTCCCCCCTGTCACTCACAGAGTAGGGCCAATAGGGGAGTTGGGGCACCGCCCCCTGTCACACACAGAGCAGGGTGGATCAGGGGGTTGGGGCGCCGCACCCTGTCACACTCAGGGCAGGGCCAATGGGGAGGTTATGGCTCTACCCAGTCACACACAGAGCAGGGCCCATGGGGGGCGGTTGGGGCGCCGCCCTCTATCACCCACAGAGCAGGGCCAATCAGGGGGTTGGGGCGCTGCCACTGTCACACTCAGGGCAGGGCTGATGGGGAGGTTATGGCTCTATCCCTTCACACACAGAAAAGGGCCCGGGGGGGGGGGGGGCGCTGCACCCTGTCACACACAGAGCAGGGCTGATCAGGGGGTTTGGGCGCTGCCCCCTGTCACGCTGATCCCGGTGCTGGGAGGCATATTACCCTTTTACTATATAGGATAGAGGCCTGGTGCATGGGTGGGGGCCGGCTGGTTTGCCCTGAAGGGTGTCCTGGATCAGGGTGGGGGTCCCGCTTGGGTGCCTGGCCAGCCTGGGTGAGGGGCTTATGGCTGTTTGCAGCTGGTCACACCCCCTTCAGGGTGGGAGTCCCCACTGGGGTGCCTGGCCAGTCTGGGTGAGAGGCTGAGGGCTGTTTTCAGGCTGGTGGGTGACTGAAGCTCCCAACCGCTCCTTTTTTTCTTTTTTTTTTTTTTTTATTCTGGGCCAGCTTTAGCTCTGAGGCTTGGCTCCAGCTCTGAGGCCTCGGCTGCTGAAAGCAGGTATCTGGTTTGTTTGGATTCTATAATCGAAACACTGTTTCAACTCCAGCTCTGAGATCCCGGCTGGCTGAAAGCAGGTTTCTGGAGTTTGTTTAGATTCTATATTTGTAACAATGTTTCAAACTGCAAGCTCAGACCGGCAGCGGCAGGTGGGGAATGTTGGCTTCCTCTGTCACTGAAGCAAGCAAGCCTCCTGATAGCTTCAAGCTGCCTGGCTGCCGGCCGCCATCTTGGCTGGCAGTTAATTTGCATATCGCCCTGATTAGCCAATGGGAAGGGTAGCGGAGGTACGGCTAATTACCATGTTTCTCTTTTATTAGATAGGATATATATATTAAACTAGAGGCCCTGTGCATGAAAATTCATGCATTGGAGGGGGGAGGGGTCCCTCAGCCTGGCCTGCTCACAGTCCAGGAGCCCTCAGGGGTGAGAGACAACCCAGCCATCAGGGGAAGGCGATGCCCCCATCACACTTCTGCTGCTGCCACTGCCAGCAGCACAAGCCTCTGCTGGCCCTGCTTACCTGAGCCTCGGGTGGCCCTGGGCGGCTGGGCAGCCACCATCCATGGCTTGTCTGCACCTCAGGTGTCAGTTGGGCAGTTGACATCTGAGGCTTGCCTGTGCCTTGGGTCAGCCCTGGGCGGCTGGGGGCCTGAGGGCGGGTCCGGATGCACAGTGGGCCTGCCACCCCCATCAGGGCTGTAAGAACTGGGGGACTACAGCAGGGCTGAGGGGACTGGGTGCCGCCATCTTGTGGCTATGGGTGCTGTCATCTTTATGACAGTGTGACAGTCAATTTGCATATTCTCTCTTTATTAGATAGGATTTTTAAAAAAGACTAAGGCAGGAGTCCTGGTGATGTTTCTATACACCAAGGAATGCCAAAGTTTGCCAGTGTTAGGGGAGAGGGAAGGACGGATTCTTCTCCCAGCCCTCAGAGGGAACTAGTCCTGTGGACACCTTCCTCTCAGACTGCCAGCCTCCAGAACTCTGAGACAACCACTGTTCGTTATTTGAGCTGCCCAGTGTGTGGTTTTCTGTTATAAATACAGATATTGAGAGATTGTAGATTCCTGTGCCTAGTTATAACCCCACCCCACCTTGCTGCTGGCTTTCAGAGATAATTATTCGTATGTTGTTTTGTTTCATGTTGTCCCATAGCTCCCTTAGGCTCTCCTCCTGCCTTTTAATTTTTTTCTCCAATTGCAGTTCAGTTTGGGTGTGTTTTGCTTCTTTGTCTTCTAATTCGCTAATTAGAAGGTCCTCCACTTCTCCTAGTCTACTGTTGAAACTTTCAATGGTGTTTTTTATTGCAGCTATATCACTCTTAATTTCTTCTTGGATCTTACATAATTTATTGATTTTTTCATCTGTTTCTTCTTGCTTCTTGCATAAGTTGTTGATTTTTTCCTCCATCCGGTTTATGCATTCTAGGACCCTTAATCTGAATTCTTTTTCTGTCATGTTGCATGCCTCGGTTTCACTTAGCTGCTTTTCTGGTGAGTCCTCCTTTTCTTTCCTTTGGGGATTTCTTTGTCTACCCATGTTTAATCTCACCGACATATCTAGATGTTGAGTCATTCAGTGGCTGCTCCCTGGGTGGCAGTGGCTCCTCGGGCTGAGGTTGCTCCTCGGGTGGTTGTGGTAGCAGCTGCTCCTCGGTTGGCAGCAGCTCCTGTGGTGGGTGCTGTTCACCGCTGTGGTGTCTTCTCTGGCTGGTGGGAGGAGGCTTCACACACAGCTGCTGTTCCTCAGACAGAGGATGTGGTGATCAGGAGGCTGCTGTTCCTTGGATGGGGGTGGGCTACACAAGCCACATGGTCTTTCTTTTGTGTGCAAGCATCCTGGCATTTCTTTTCTTGTTCACGTTTCCTCTTCTTATAGCACCAGTCAGATTGAATCAGGGCATAGCCTAATAGCCTTGTTTTAACTTAACCACTTCTTTAAAGGCCCTATCTCTACATACAGTTATATTCTAAGGTATGGGGGTTAGGGCTTCAACATAGAAATTTGAGGAGCACACATTTATCGTGTCTTTCTCACATGAAAAATACATTAACCTCCATCTCAACAGCCCTAAAGTTTTAATGCTAAGCACCAATAAGTCCCAAATCTTACCTAAATATTTAAATCAAATGCAGCTAAAACTCAAGATATAATACATTTTGAGGCAAAATTCCTACTCAGCTGTGAACCTGTGAAATCAAAGTTATCTTCTTCCAAAATACAGTGGTGGTACAAGCAGAGAATAGACATTCCAAACTGAGAGTGAGAAATGAGAAAGAAGAAAAAGGTCACAGGTCCCAAGCAAGTCCAAAACCTACCAGGGAAAACTTTATTCTATTTTAAGATTAGAAAATAATTATCTTTGGCTGGATGCTCTGTCCTCCAGGCCCACCTGATGATGGCCCTGCCCTTGAAGCAGCAACATTGCCCCCAAGGTCCTGGATGGCAGCCACATTCCTGAGTCCCTGGGGAGCAGCAGCTTGGCCTGCTGAAACTGAGGAGTTGGCCCTGCTTTCTAGAACTGAAGAGGAGGCAGCCTTGCTTTCTGGATTATTCTCCCCACTTCTTGAAGGATAATGTATGTTCACAGCCAATAGCTCTATTGTCTTGTTCTGTAGCATTCCAGAAGTTCAACAATTTTACTTCATTTCAACTCTTCTCTGTTCCTTTCAGTTCAAGCTGGTAACATTTCTGCTGATTTGGTTGATTGGATCCATTGTGTCGGTTTGGCCAATAGTGTTATTCAAAGTCTACCATCTTTGTCAATTATCTGTCTGGTTGTTGTATCCATTATTCAAAATGAAGTATTGAACTCCTCTACTATTATTGAATTGCTATTTCTCCTGTATGTTCTGCCAACACAAGTGAATTTATTGTAAATAGTATACAGCCAGACCTTGTGTCTTTAATCTATTCAGCCGCTCTATTTTTTTTAACTAGGAAGTTTAACCCATTTACATTTAATATAATTATTGATAGGAAAGGATTTACTATTTCTGATTTTTTGTTTTGTCTTATTGTTCTGTTGTTCTTCTTTTCTTCCTTTGCTATATAATTTTGTGTGTGTGTTTTTATGATATGCTTTGATTTATGTCTCTGTTTCTCTTGTGTAACGTCCTATGTATTATTTTTGTAGTTAGCACAGGGCTTACATAAAATGTCTTATAGTTATAACAGTCTATTTTAAGCTGATAAGACTTCAATTGCATACAAAAACTTTACACTTTTACTCCCCCACCCCTATTTTTTGTATTGATGCCACAATTTACATCTATTTGTACTGTGTACCCATTAAAATTTATTAGTTATAGTTATTTTTAATACTTTTATCTTTTGACTTTTATACTAGAATTAAAAGTGACTCATCATCATTACAATAATACAATATTCTGCATGTGTCTATACACTTATCTTTATCAACAAGTTTTATACTTTCCTATGCTATCATGTTACTCTTTAATATCCTTTTATTTCATCTTGAAGAACTCCCTTTAGCATTTCCAGTAAGGCAGGACTAGGGGTAATGAACTCCCTTAGCTTTTGTTTTTCATTTCTTCATTTTTGTATAACAGTTTTGCTGAGTATTGCACTCTTATTTGGCAGGTGGTTTTATTTCCCCTCAGCACTCTGAATATACTGTGTCACTCCCTCTGGCCTGCAAAGTTTCTGCTGAGAAGTCTGCTGGAAGTCTTATAGGAGTTCCCTTGTACATAACAAGTTGATTTTTTTCTTGATGCTTTTAAGATTCTCTCCTTTTCTTTAACTTTTGAAAATCTCTCTATAGCCCTAACCAGTTTGGCTCAATGGATAGAGCATCGGCCTGCAGACTGAAGGGTCCCAGGTTCGATTCTGGTCAAGGGCATGTACCTTGATTGCAGGCACATCCCCAGTAGGGGGCATGCAGGAGGCAGCTGATCGATGTTTCTCTCTCATCGATGTTTCTAACTCTCTATCCCTTTCCCTTCCTCTCTGTGAAAAATCAATAAAATATATTTTTTTAAAAAGAAGAAAAGAAAATCTCTCTATATAAAAGCCTAAGCAACTGTTCAACTGTTGCACACTGACCACCAGGGGACAAATGCTCAATGCAGGAGCTTCCCCCTGGTGGTCAGTGTGCTCCCACAGCGGGAGCAATGGTCAGCTGATCAAAGGGGGCCAGATGCCGGGCTCATGGCTGGCAAGTGCAGCTGCGGCAGTGCGAGCCTCTCCCAGGAACACTCCCCCTTCGCGCTCCTCCCCCATCTGGACCAGGGCTGGAATCAGGACCAGCATTGGGACTGACTGGGCACGAGCCCATGGCCACTTCTCGATCATGGGTGTGCCGGTATCACCCTAGGATGGGCACACAGAGACCACAGCAGAGCAGCAGTGAACCTACCAAGGCTCCGAGAGGCGGGGCTGAGCGGGAGCAGTGTGGCACCCCGCCGGGGCTCAGGGTCCTCCCCCGCCGCCTGCCGCTTTGTGCATTACTACATCCCTTGAGAGATGTTGGACTGCGGTTTCAGCCTAATTCCCGCAGGCCACACTGAGGGACCCCACCGGTGCACAATTCCGTGCACCGGGCCTGTAGTTTAATTATAATGTGTCCAAGTGTGGATCTCTTATCTTCATCTTATTTATCTTATTTAGAGATCTCTTAGTTTCCTGGATGTGGAGTGATCTTGTCAGGATTTTCTACATAGATAAAAACACACGCAACCCAAGAAGATAGAATCAATAGGGTCAAATGGAAAACATATTTTTGAGAGGGAGAAAAATGAAGCAAAACATTACCCATTTTACAATTTGGCCACAGACTCGCCTACAGATCAAAACTGTTCTACAGTGATGAAAACCAAGACACTATGAGTAAATCTAGAATCCAATTAATAGCACTCCTGTGTCACTGAAGAAAAAAATAAGTACAGTATTATCTTCATTTACACATCAAAAGAAGAACAAAGAGGTTTTCTCCTAAAAGTTATTTTAAAATTTGTGAGCATCCAGGCTTTGCTTTTAAATTGAAAAAAAAAAATTAAGTTAAAAGATTAATGTTAAATTTTTTTCCACAAAAAAAGAATAACTCAGGAAAAAGAAATGAGAGAGAGAGAGAGAGAGAGAGAGAGAGAGAGAGAGAGAGAATATACAGTTTGGAGGGTAGAAGAGAGGCAGTTACGTGTGGATGGATTTGCTACCCTGCTCCTGGGTCCCCTAGAGCAGGAAAAGTTCCAAGAACAGACTTTGCATTGGGAGCCTTTTACTAGCATTCTTTCCTACTAACTGTGCCCTTTTCAAATTATAGGCAATTTAGTTGTTTAACTATTTAGCAATGTTCTGATTCCTTTTGATTTCTGGATTATATAACAGCAAACCAAAGAGAATGGCCAACGGAAGGAAATTAATACATCTTTCTTCACATTATGGCAGGTGTATTCATTAAGTTAAATATTTGGAACTGAGAAACTGTTTGATAAAAGTGAAGCTGCAATTAGAAAACTGAATGCCCCAGAAAGACTCACTGATCTCTTCGACAGGTTTTCCAAAGTGATATGTTTTCAGCAGAATGAATCATACATGTTTGTATGATCGCTGGTCAAAGGAAGGTTGCTGTGGATAAAAGAAACATTGCTTTGCATTCTGCCAGTATGATCAGTGAGAATGCCCCTGAATTAAGACTAGAGAAATGTTTATTGCTGGTGCCAACAACACTGATATATGACTTTGTTTTGCAGTCACACTCAGGTCACCTTTCCTGCTATTGGGAACTTTGTTTTCCACATGAGGGATAAAGAACAAAATTACTTAATTGAGATTAAATACAGGCCATTATCTTTAGAATAATCACTTTTGATCTGAGTGAAATCTATAAAAAAATGTAAGTAAAAACTGTATATGCATAAAAATGTAAAATGATTTTTTTCAAGCAGAAAACACAAGGTTATGACCATAATGTAGAAGACGGAGTAGTAAAGTAGTAACCCAAAAGCAGGAGCCAACTCCGTATCTGGCTTGATTTATAGGGTTTTGGAGAAAGTTATCTTGATTTAGGCACTTTTCCAGTTTATATAATACTTTCTCATATGTAATCTCTGCTGGAAGATTTTCTAATATTTTTTACTTTTAGTTTATAACAACTATCTATTAGTTGTCTTCTTTGTAAGCCCTAACGAAATAAATTGAAATGTAAAGAAGAAATATATAGAAATGAACCTCTACCACACTACTCTAGCCTACTGGCCAAAGTTAACATCATCAGTACAGAGACAAGTCAATATCTTGTGCCTCATGATGCACTAAAAACACAGCAACACTTCAGTGATTTTCCTGCCAAAGACAAATAATCTGAATCTAATGGTGAGACAACATCAGACAAACCCAAATTGAGGGACATTCTGTTACAGAACAAAAAGAATTCATCCACTCAGATCTAATAGAAGCAAACACTAGACACCATGAATTGCCTGGAGAAATATTGGCTACTTTATTAATGAACTAGAGGCCCGGCCTGCCCCCAGCCTACCCCCTCTCACGGTCCGGGGAGCGGACCTAAACTGCAGTCTGGCCTCCCTCTGCAGGCTGAACAGGGGGAGATGCCACCCCCATCACCCCACTGCTGCTGCCACTGCTGGCTGCCAAGGTGTTTTCATCAACAAGAACTCCAGTCCCTTCACCACAAAAAAATGATAACTTTCTTTAGGCATTTTCAAGGTGTCTCTTTCATAGGATATGATCTTTCTTTCTTTCTTTCTTTCTTTCTTTCTTTCTTTCTTATCCTCATCTGAGGATATTTTTTCATTGATTTTCAGAGAGCGTGGAAGAGAGAGGGAAAAACAGAGAGAAAAATCAATATGAGAGGAACACTTCGATTGGTTGCCTCCTGCATGAGTCTTGACCTGGGCCCAGGCCAGGGAGGGGCCTGCAACCTAGGTGCATGCCCTTGATCAGAATCGAACTGAACCCTGCAGTCCGCAGGCTGAGGCTCTATCCACTGAGCCAAACTGGCTAGGTCAGGATATGACATTTCTTAGCCCCTCTAGCAGCGGACCTTCGTTTTTGCCTCCAGGAGTGAGGTGGAAAAACCCTAGATCACCTTCTTGGATTCTTATTACCAAAGTTATCAAGAACACTGAGAGTGGTGTACAGGGAGCTTAGCCAATGAGCTGTAAGAAAAGGTGTTTCCTCTGCAGCTCACACGCAGAGGTGAGCTGCCTGGGGGCTGTCTCCCAGTAGCGCCAGCCTGGGCACGACACCCTGCCTCTCAGCTCCTGCTCCCTCTGCAGACCTGCTCTTCCCTGCAGCACTGGCAGGCTCTGCTTCCTGTTCTCTGTGGGCCCTGCTCCGCCCTGCTGTCTGTGGACCTGACTGTGGCTGTGGTGACTGCTTCCAGTTCTCTGTGGGCCCTGCTTCCTGTTCTCTCTGGACTTGATCATCATCACAATGACTGGCAGGTCCTGCTTCCCGTTTTCGGTGGGCCCTGCTCCGCCCTGCTGTCTGTGGACCTGATTGTGGCTGTGGCAACTGCTTCCTGTTCTCTGTGGGCCCTGCTTCCTGTTCTCTGGGCCCTGCTCCACCCTGCTCTCTACCCCTGTGGCAACTGGCAGCCCTGCTCCACCCTGCTCACTGTGGACCTGCTGGTTGCCTGTGTTATCCATGGCTTGCCTCACCACGCAGCAGC